ATATTACTTTTTTGTCAGTTCGATTTTATCTTTAAACTAAGTCGGTTAAATCAGTTTTCAAGTTTTTCAAACTAAATTAATCGAACTGGCCAATTTGTTTAGCTCTACCATGAAGATTCTATACAATCAGATTGAATACCAAGATTTTTGTTAGTCTATTTTTTTAAATGAATTAAGTATATCTTTTGGGTACATGTTTAATATTTTTTTTGCAAACTAGGCATGCATTGCATTTTTAGTGGTATTGATACCAACTAATTATTTATAGTTCCAAGTTTGATAGTTAATTTTTAGGTTTTGAAAAAAGGTTTAACATTTTTTTTATACCAGGCTTGAATTATATGTATTGATATTGATACAAATACTTGTCTAGTTTTATAACCCTAGGTTTAATAATACCAAATATTCTAGTCATTTTTTGTTGTAAATGTAAACAACAATGTTTTATTGAAAACATTATGGTTTATAATTTCAAATATAAATGAAAATATATAGCTTTATGGTTGCAATCAACTTCTATTTGGTGGTATCAATTGATAATATATAGTTTGTGTTATTCATAATAAGTATTACATGAAGGAAATTCAAAAGCAAGTAAGTATATTATCATTAACCATATCATAATTCTATACTATATACACCTTTGAATGACAAAAAAAAGTTTGCATATCATTAAACAATATATCATTCATACATGTATAATTACTCACGGTAGAGCTAACATACCATTCCTAATCATATCATCCTTACTTACTTCAAATACAAAATATACTATTAATAAACTAAACATCAAATCCATTTTGTATAGTCTTTTTTACTTTGCTTTTATTTTTGTGTCTAACAGAACATTTTTCAATCTTGTATGTAACATATCATTCTCAACTTTCAATACAGCAACTTCATCAAACAAATCATCAGTGTTAAACATTATTCTTTTATATTCATTTTCACTCTTCAACTCGATATTCATTCTTCTTAATGCTTTGTTCTCATCCTTCAATATTGGACTCTCTCTTTTTAAACCTCTGTTGGCATCCCTTAAATTAATAATCTATAGATTTAGATGTTCATCCTCAATTGGTTTATCATGCCAAGCAAAAAATCAACACCAATTTCCCTACATACATCATACAATTCAATTATACCTATTATCATACCAAGGACAATCTTATTTTTAATCAAACTTCAAGACCATGCTTTAGACTCAATATCAATATTCAACATTCATGATTAATTCAGATATATCTGATAGTTACTGTAGCTAAAGAAACACCTTCTAGGATTATCATCACTTGTTGAAGTGACTAGAAGAGCCTTTAATCTACAATAATAGTACACTGACTCACCTCCATAATCATAGGTTTCTAAAACAAAAGTTAAATTAAAGACACTTTAATTCAACATTCAGACATAATATAAAAATTAATAAAACAAATGTGAATCTGTTGTCAGTGTAAGGTTTAACATTCTTTGAACCCCTAACTTTTTTGATAAACCCTAAACTCAATATGTTGAATATACATTCAAACTTAAAAAACAAAGTTACCATTCATGGATTTTTTGTAATTTTTCATCGATTTCTCTCTCTCTCTCTCTTTACAATTTTAGACAAGTTTAACTTAATCAAAATGTGAAAGAAGACAATCCACATGTTATAATAAGAAATCACTACGTTAAATAGGAACACAGATATAAGACTACAATCAATGTAAAATTGTAAAAAAATTTTAAAAACAATTCTAATAAAAAATATAACCCTAACCTATCAACCCAATCTCTTTAATGTAGTGATCAGGGTCTAGAGTATTCAAAAATCTTCTTTTTCAATTTTGTGAAAATATCAATGAGAAAAAATAAGAGATTGCAATCAATGTGCAAAAAAATTTAATGATAAGAAAATGAGAAAAATGATTCATCGCACCTGTTCTTGTTTTCATTCCAAATGAGAGAAATTAAAAATTTCTTCATTAGAGTTTATTTATAAGAGAAGTCAAACCCAAATCCTCTCTCATTTTCAATTAACTCTTTTAAGTTTTCAATTTCAAGATTTTGATTTTGTTTTAAAGTTAAGTTTTGATTTAAGATTTGGGATATGAGAATAAATGAGAAAAATGAAAAGATTTAGGTTAAATGGTTTTTGTTTCTATTTTTTGTTTTGATTTTTTCTCAATTTTAATTTTTTTTGTTAATGATATTAGGGAAATATTAAGTTGAAATAATATTTAAAAATAAAATAAATTATTAATGCTGATTTGGATTTATGTAAGCCATATGGCAAGCATTTTAATCCATGTTAGCAATTAATAATAACAACCAGTCAAAATACCATGTTAGCAAAGTCAACAACCACCTCAGCAAATCAACAGTCATGTCAATTATCTTAATGGATAAAATTTAACATTATTAATGATTGGATTGAGACTATTAATGATTGGATTGAGATTATTAAATCAAAATAGTATAATAACTAAATTTTTTTGAATTAGAGTTGAGAAACTAAATTTTCAAATTTTGAAGAGTACATAGACCTATGATATATTTTGACAATTAAAAATATGTAATATTTTAGATGATAACTATTTTTATATAGACTTGTGTTCTCATTGATGTTACATTTTAATTATTTTTTATTTCTAATCAACTATTGTTTTACATGTTATTTTTTATTTTATAATAATTCTTCAAAAAGGAAATAACAAAAAAAAAATAAAAGTATAAATCAAGTGAAATATTAATTAACTTTTAATGATAATGCATATAATTACTTTGTTATCCAGTTGAGCCAAACTAAATTGTAAGAAATTCAAAGTTGGTAATAAATTTCAAATTGAACTACATTTAAAACAAATTTACTTATTTATTAAATAATAATACATCAAGGGTACTATAAAAATTTTGGGTTATGCATGGCTTGATTCAAAATGAAAACATAATTTTTAACAAATATGTATGTAAATGTTAAAAATTATAGATTATTGCTTGATTATGAAAGGAAACTTCTTTTTTTTTTAATTCTTTTGGAGGAAATCAAAACCTAATTTTTAATGATACATATAGGATGCAATATGAGTCAAGTTGAACCTAGTTTTGAGAAATTCAAAATTAACTTATTATATACAATTAACCTAGTTCTATCTAAGCTCAAACTTAATTTACATAAGATTTAAAAAAGAAACTTGAGCTTAGCTTGTATTATATACAAACTTGAACGTATAGCTTGTATTAAGATCATGTATAAGCGTACTCATGTACTTGATAGTAAGGTTCAAATTCAATAAAGTTTGAAAAAAATTAATTATTTATAAAATTATATAATTTCTTTTAAAATAGTGATAGTGTAATAAATATTTCAATATTGGATAGTAGCCAAAATCAATCTTTATTAATTCAAAACTACTTATTTATATAATCAAATGAAATATATCTAATTTAAAAGATATTGTTTGATTACTGTCTCTCACAAACAACCAAGAAAAGTTCAATTTAAATAACATTGTTGGTACTTTGCAAAGGTGAACATTAAGGCATTTGTACAAATGGGCCGAAGTCACATCAACTCTATTTGAGATTATATTATTATGGATTTAAATTTTTCACTTATTTTTGAATAGATACAAGTTTAAATATTATACTTTTTGCTTTATATCGACATCAAACTCTCACTCTCTCTCTTTTTAGCTTTATGCTTGATATCGATGGCTGATATTTCAATATCAGGTCGGGACATAGGGTTATCAAAAACCATAGTTTCGAAGGGGATAGTTTTACAACTTATTGTAGAAATTGATGACCTCGTCCGATGATTCCATTTCAGGATTTTTTTTTTACATCAAAGTTTTAATATATATATATATAAACATACACACACATAAAATCCAAAGCAATCGATAATGATGTGGTCAGCAAATTAACACATCAGTCATTGGGTATAGTTTGTGCATGACTTTCATGTGGATTTTTGCAACCCTAGCTAATCATAGCAATTGTCATACAATTTTCCAACTATCCGTTTCCAACCATGCATGAATTGTTGAGAATTCATCAAAAAGTATCATATATATGGAGCTTAATTATTGATATATATATATATGATACTTTTTGATGAATTCTCAAGTGTCCAAAACAAATCAGAGCATTCTTGAGCTTCTTTTGTTCTCACTCCTTTATTGTAATTTCTTTCCTGCAAGCTAAGCTTTTCCAACTACCAACAATAGATTAACCTTAAACCATGTCATAGCCATGAAACCTAACTTTCTTAATTGTAATTTACCATCTTTGGATCAAGACTCGCTATGGGTTAAACTAGAACTCAAATGGGAGGCGTGATACTATCCTTATCTCGATCGATACAAATCCAACATTTTTTTTTTTGGGTGCATTTCCACACCAATGGCGACTCTACCTCACTTTCAACAAGGCTTCATGCCAATAACTCTTGTCCACACCATCTTTTCCAAAATCCTTCCCAACACTTTTTATCCATAAATATATATATATATTTAAATTTTACTGTTAAATTTGAGAGACCAAAACTTAAATTAGAATCATTATTTTTATTTGTATATAATTTGAAATAATTTATGTTAAATTTAGTATATCATAATTTGTATTAGACACTTTGTAGATATAAGGTGTGTAAATTGAAATATATTACTTTTGAAAAAAATTGTAGCTATTAATATTAAGATGAAAAATCTGCTACATAATTTTATGTTAATAATTCAATTAAAATTTAAAAAAAAAAACTTTTAGTTAAAAAATATGGCGGGCCGAAGGGATAAGATATCAATATAAAAAAAAAAATTGACATCTAAAATCGAGGGCCCACGATCAATCCGAACCTAAACTTGATACGTGACCTAATTTCAGAATTCTAATACCCATATAAACCATATTATTCAAAACACGGCCCAACTCCTAATCTCCCAATTCGATCACTGCCGTCCACGCGTAAACTGAGAATTCGTGGGCTTCAATATTTCCTATAAAAATTAAACTTAGCTAAAAACCCTACGGGTTTTCTCCGATCCGCCGAAGACTGGACAGAGAGGGCCATTTACTCTTTCTTCTCTCATCTCTTCATCTCTCGCTTCTCTCGGGTGCCCCTTTTCATTTTCCTACCACCTGCCTGGCTTCCTAGAAAGTGCTGAAAAAGAAAATGTAATGAACATATTTCTCTTTATTTTTGTTTTCTTCTCTACTTATGTTGTTTCTATTAAGTTTTCTCCTATAACCAAGGAGAGTGATAGGGCTTTTCTTTTCACTTTATATTATAACCTGATTTGTATGCTTATATTTAATAATTTAATTTCGTTACTGGACTTTCGGCTATGAGTTTTAGGTTTCTTCATCGTTATCTATTCATAAGCATTCATTATTTACTGAGCTAATAAGAGCTCTGTAGTGCGGCTGGGTTTTGTATGAATCTTTTTTCTCATTTTGTATTTCTCGTTTTGCTGTAAAATGTGTTAAAAACACTAAATTTTGAAGTTTATGTATGCAAATTTTTGCGTATGGACAGTAAATACGTGGTCGAAGCTCTAGTTCAATCTGATTTGTAATTACAGTTTCTTGTTTGAAAATTCCTTTTCAAATTTTTATTGATCCCACAATGCAGATCTTGAAGATGTATACATCAATGAAGAAGATCCACAAAGATAAGGATGCTGAACCAACAGAATTCGAGGAGTCAGTTGCCCAGGTTTTAAAATGTTATAATGTTTGTTGCACTTGAAAAGATTCTGAAAGGGTGTAATACTGGATATGATTTCATTACGTTTGCACTTATGTTTGTATCAGGCATTCTTTGATTTGGAGAATACCAACCAGGATTTGAAAAGTGACCTCAAAGATCTCTACATTAATTCAGCTGTGTAAGAATGATTCATTGGGATGCATTAATTGTAAATCATTTATGTATTTTTCCATCAAATGATTAATATAAATTTGTTCAAATGCAGCCAAATTGATGTTTCTGGCAGCCGAAAAGCAGTTGTTATCCATGTCCCCTACAGATTGAGGAAAGCTTTTCGCAAGGTTCATGTTAAGCTTGTGAGGGAACTTGAAAAGAAGTTCAGTGGCAAGGTGAGAAAAGTTGATTAGGTCTTTTAGTTTACAATTTATTTTAAGTGCACTACCATTTAAATACAAAATTCAGTAACAATTCTAATTCGCATGCGTTGCATAAGATGCTATCGTCGGTTGAATTGCTCTTTCCAGACTCTGATACATTTAAGTTACACAAGAAACAAGAGAAATAATCATGTTTATTGTTTTATTCATAAATTGATGTCTTTGTGAACTCTTTTGCATGATCTAGCTTTAATGTTTTACATAAATTTCTATTTTGTACTTATAGTGATGGTTATTAAGTGGTTTGATTGATATGCGCATGTTCTTGATTTTAAGTTTTAACTTAGTTTATACATATATGATAGGATGTGATTCTTATTGCCACCCGGAGGATATTGAGGCCTCCAAAGAAAGGTTCTGCTGTTCAGAGGCCACGCAGCCGCACATTGACTGCTGTACATGAGGCAGTGCTAGAAGATATTGTCTTACCTGCTGAGATTGTTGGGAAGCGCACTAGATATAGAATTGATGGATCAAAGATAATGAAGGTAGAACCTTGCTGTCATATAATTATTAGGTTGCAAAATGTTGATGAAAAAGTCTCAAGTGATGAGTTGAAGACCTGTGATCTTGAGAAATTTTTTATATATTGGGTTCAATCGTTCCTGTTAATAATGATTGTTGTCATCTTTCATGGATCTTTAATTTTTTAAAGGCTAATGTTGATTCATTCTTTGCCACCCTTGTTTGGCAGGTCTTTTTGGACCCCAAGGAACGAAACAACACTGAATATAAGCTCGAGACCTTTTCTGCAGTTTACCGAAAGCTTGCCGGAAAGGATGTTGTGTTTGAGTTCCCCGTTACAGAGGCATAGAGAATTCCTTTTTAAGTGTTGTGACACTTTGTTTCTGGTCTTTTTCCCCGAAAATTACTGTTTGGGGCAATTAAAATTTTGACATTTATGAGGTGCTAAACAGTTAAGTGCCATGGTGGATTCAACTTCTTTGTGTGGTATGCATTTAGTGGTGTAGGATTATGAGTTTTAAAAGGTTTTTATCAGTTGGCAAATTTATTTCTCGCCTCCTTATTGTTATTGAAGTAAAGATTAGGTTTACAAGATCAAGGTTCCAACAAACAATCGACGTGGGTTCTGTTTTTGAATAGAACAATTCATTGCTCCATGCAATAAGCAGATCAGAAAGCAGGTCCGATTCCAGGTTTTGAAGACTTATTTCAATAATTCCATTTTGCTTTATTGGTTAGGGGCTTAGTTCTCTTCATAATGCCATATTTAAGGCATGGGAAGCTCTTGGGATTATAAATTAGAGTGCAGGCTGCAGTCATTGAAATTTATTTGTTTAAAAAAATTGAATGATGATGTATTCATTGAGACCAAAACGCCAATGTGAAAAAAAAAAAAAATCAGTTTGCCTTGTTTCTTCACTTTTGATCTCATTTTGGGCATGAATCTTCTATGCCAGAAAAGTAAACAAATAGGGGCAAAAAAAAAAAAAAAAAGAAACATAGAAACATCCCCTGACCAAAATGGAGATGGTCTTAACTATTCAGAAAGTGAATGATTCAATAAGTAAAGCTTCTTACACAAAAATGGGAGACATATGGTAAGAAAGTCAGCATCTGATGAAGCATGTAGACATTTAAGTTGTCTATAAATTATAAAATCATGCATAAAGAGGATGAAACGCTAATTGAACTAACCGAGACTATGGAAGCATGTTTACCTCAAGACAGTATTACAAGACCAAGATACATTGCTCCACAAAGAAATAAGAATGATATCAAACCCCTGCCATAAAGAATTTTATTATTTTTTTTAATTCAGGAGACAACACAACCTAAGATTCAACAGCCTTGCTCGTCAAATCTTAACAAACAAGGAGATAAAGTAATCTTCATGCATATATTTATCATTAATTACTCTATAAACTTCAATATTTTCACCAGATGACAACCCAACCAACGCCATTGCAATGACAAGGACACACTTCTGTGAATTTTTCGGCATCACTAGAGTTAACTCTACTGAGATATGAAGTCATCATATATATCTGTATCATCAAGTATACAATGTAAAGAATCAGTAACTACAAAACAGACATGTATGTAAATCACCAGATTCAATGTTTCTTGCTCCAAAACCATACCATAGACTGAAAACAAGCTTGTTCATTACACCTGCAGTAAGGAATAGCACTTTAGTCTGCTCACACTAAAAAGGGGATAAAAAAACTGGGCATGATAGTCAAATTTCAGAAAAAAAGTTCAGAAAGAGAACAAGACATCCATTTACCAATAAACAGAATAATGTACCGAAGTATACAAATCTTTGTTGTTTCTTGAAGAACCCAAACCACACCAAGGAAAAGAACAAAGCCTGACATCTCAATACATAGGGATTAATGTTACTCACATGGTATATCAGTTAAATTTATTCAAGCTATCAAAAGACATACCAATACAAAGTCCTCTTAGTGTCCACTGCCAAAACAACTTAAAAGATAATCAAGAGCCATACAAACATAGAATAATAGTAGTGACAATGCATGTTGATGCAGTTAAATGTAAAAGCAAGCCAAATGTTTATGAAAAGCTATTATTTTTATTTTTAATTGCAAGAATATGACTATTTTGTTATAGACTGAAAAGAGTATGTCTTATTTCAGGGCTTTGTGCTAATATCTCTATATCTTACATTCAATGTGGTTTTGGTTCCCTTTTATTCCTTCAATTTTTGCATTCATATTCCAAAAGAACCAAACTAAGTTCCAAATAACCTTGCAAATGCAATCTAGCATCTATGATCTACCAATGAAATATAAAAAAAAAAAAAAAAAAGCCATCCTAGGTATTCATCAATACTCACGTTCTTAGCTACACAGAGTACAACAAATAGAGCAAAGATAAAACATCCTGCAGCAATTCTTGCAGTCAGAAGATTTGTCGATGCTAGTATCAAAACCATTCCCCAAAAAGATGAACCAAGATCTGAAGCGTAACAACAAACATTAATTCTGGTAACAATGCAGGCAAACTCACAAAGAGTTAACCGATAGTGAATCCAATGTTTTAAATTTTATATCTATGATAGCATGCATGAACATATTAATACATGGATGAAAAAGACAATTCAAAAAGGCTGTAATTGGAACGTAATGTTGACATAATTATGCATCTATGTGAGCATGTGTCTGTACATATGTGCCTTTATCTGTTTTGTATGCAAGCAGTTAAGGAATAAAGAAGTTACATCCGGCCAGCAAGATTAACCAGTATATTCCACCACGTGTCTTTGTGGTTCCACCACCATCTGCATGAACCTGGATCCCTTCCACCTGCATATTTCATCCCCTTAGAAATTGGATTACACATAACAGACAACATTTCAAGGTTATGCAATCAACAAAGCACTGCATTACTTGGAATTTGACCCTTCCAAGATGCACCAATCGGACAGCATCACGCAGTAAGCCAAATAAGTTGCCCAGGCAGCACCATGGTTACACATAAAAATGGAACTGACCGACCTAATATTTTGTCATTCATTGATCCTATGCATAGGCATTATGGTGTGATTCACAGATGCAAGGACCCCTAACCATTTTACTAATCCTGTGTTTGGAAAGACAAAAAGAATTACCTGTCCTATCAAATCAAACCATTACATGAAAACAAGAATGAAACTTTTCCTCTATGTGAGTGAAATTCATCTCTATCTCCTACCCTTATGCCCTTCATTTAATTAATTGAGAAATTTAATGATTTATTTTACATGATTACTAGCTTACTGCAAGCACTTTATTTGATGTTTTGGCCCAAAATCCAAATATGATATAGATTAAACTTTTCTTCTCATTTCTAAAATCACTCTTTAATTGCAAAATTGTGAATTGTGAATAATATACACTCAAAGTTGATTATACCGAGTTTCAAACTTAATTTGCATAAGGCCATTTCGTTTTATATCCACAAGGCTTTGATCCTTGAAGGACATACATGGTTAACGTAAACATTGGTGCCAAGATGCTTCTTTTTTGCTTTGTCTTTTCCTTTTTGACAGTTAAGGGTGTTTATATTTTCTCTTTTGGAAAGTTAAGTTGGGTGAGGGGGAATTGAAGCTAGAACCTCATCTTTAGCAGTAAGGTTTGGGTACCATCAGACGATTGCCTTGGCTACAAAAAAAAAAAAAACTGTCCTAGTCTGAAAAATGCGAGTCAAGTACATATCTGTAGATGTGTTACTTCGATGCATAAATGACTAGAGTGGGCAATATATTCATGGAGTAAATTCTACTTTTACTAAATAAAGTTGAGTATCTCTACCAATAAACTTGTGAGCTGTATATTTTCATATAGACTGCTCAAAGAGATGAAACTTCAGAGACACTAGCCCTGAAGTGTGAAGAGTATGTCTGACTCTCCGGTGGTTTTCTGACTGTATATGGATAATTTTACCAAGCAATATGTAAGCAGACAATGTCAACAAGTTCTTCATAGAACTAGATATATTTCATAAAGAGTTACTGATAAAATTAAGATAGTAATCCCATAGCCACATGCAAATGATGTTGCTTGAACATGAAAAGAATTAAGATTGCCCATTATTTAACAAAAAGAGATACAAAGGCCAAAAAAAACTTTGATTAGCATAAAATATGATCAAGAATTTTGGGGAAACAACATTGTTTTCGTCAAATTGGCATCTCATGTCTATCATCCCCCCCCCCCCCCCCCCTTGCACAACGATTTATTAACAAGGTTCAGTGAGTAATTTCTCCACTAAAAAACAGAAATTCAACATTAAGACTGGATGACAATATTGCTTTACACTGGGCAAAATAAAGCCAATGCACAATCAACATCTAACAATAATGTACAGGAAAATGCTAATTACTGAGAGACCATGTCATCATAGTGAAGGATTAATACATTAAAAGTGAGCATTGCTAACCAAAGCATTTTTCTAACATTTTTAAAAAATTATTATGAATTTCAAAAGATAGCATGTGTGAACACAAACAAATACTTACATGACCACATGTGAGTTTACAAGCAAAAGCATGGCTTGCCTCATGAAGAAATACAGTCACAAGCTTGAAAGGTGTCAGAATCATTGTCCTCCACAGCTACAAATATAAATAAAGATTTAAACCACAAAGCAGAAACATTGCACAATGCACACGGAGCAGAAAAACATCAAAGTACAACATGCCTAGAAATTGATAGCATATAACAAGACTTCTAATCAGCATAATATTTTTAAAAACAAGTTCAGCATATTATAAATCTGCAATCAAATAATAAATCTGCTTTCTAAATGACTGAATTTTAAGTAAAATTAATTTTTAAAAAATTTCAGTAGGCTTGACACTTTTATCTTAACATCAACAAACTTTAATGAATCGATTCCACATCAAAATTGGCTAAACTTTAGCACAATTTGAAACAGGATGAACCATTGTCTATAGCTTGTACTAAAATTACTAAATCAGTAGCACCATACACTAAAATCAATAAATTGTTCTTGGAGAATTGATATGTAGAGGCATGCACCACAGGAAAGCTTCCAAACAGACAGCACAGCATTTATTTTTCCCAAATGCCTCTTCAGCCAAAAGTGAAATCTAATTTAAGTGAAATCTAATTTTATATCCCTTAAACCTACAGTTATAACTTGTTGATAAGCTCAGATTGAATCCAATTACTAGAGAGAGCAGTGATCTTGAGCAACGAGAAGCAGGCTTTCCTTTCAACAAAATGTACATGCAAAATTTCAATGCACTATAAATAAATATGCATATGGTTTTAGAAAAGTACTAACCACTTTACTCCAAAGAACCAAAAACTTCCACGATTTAAAACAAAGCCCTTTCTCACCTCCCCATTTCCCAAAAAAAAAAAAAACAAACAAACTATCTCCCCCCCCCCCCCACAAAAAAAAAAAAGAAAAACCATTGGCATTTTTTTATCAGATATGGAAAAAAAAAAAAAAAGGAAAGTGGCATAGATTTGGTAAACAAGTAAAAGAAGAAAGAGAAAAGG